AACTCAATGTTATTTAGGGTACGCATATGCTCGTTCCCTCATTTTGAAAGCACCCCCTATCTGAGGACTGCCAATATTTCCGAACCCCCCCCCCCCCTTTCGCGGGCATTTCGCGGGCTTTTCCTGCCTTAATTGGAAAATGCTCAATGTACCCCCCTAAATTCGAAATAATTTCTCAGGAGTCCAAACTCCAAAGAGATGAGAGAAAAAGAGAAAAAAACACCCCCTTTTTAAAGAAATCTGCGTATGGAAAGTCAAATACACCCCTTTTTTTACAATTCTCGGGCCAGACTTCGTCGCACGAAAAGTACCCCTGGCTTTACCGGACATTTTGGCAACACGCATGCGGTCATTCCGACCTCTGAGTGGGGGGGGGGGGGCCGGGCCTGAGACTTAACCTTTATAAGTAACACTAATCCTAACCCTGACTCGAACTCTAACCCTAACCCTAGTTAACCCTAGGTATTTTACGTTATTGGTGGGGTATTCTAGAGTTTAGCCAAATTAGAATTTTAACTTCTAAAATTAAAACAAAAAGCATTGTCTTCAAATATGTAGATCTTGGGGTTGTTTCTCGAAACCGTCACAAATTATCAGGGACATCCCATTGAAACATGTGTTAATTGTACTATTAGTATAACACACCTACAAATAGGATGTCACTGATCTGGCTTTCAAGAAACAACTCTCTGGCCTCTCTCATTTCCATAAATGTTGAGATCTAATTTTTCATTTTCATGATTATTTTCTTTCTAGGTGCTGGGCTCAAGACCGGCCACAAGACCTGGTTTTGTGGTGGACAGTGGAGCCAGCGCCAACAGCGGGGATTCACCTCCTCCATTGACTGGCCCTGTTGGAGATGAGGTGGAGCCCGAGGGTACACAACTATCTGATGAACAGTTAGATGCTGAGCCTATGGATACTACACCTGATGATGATGTCGTCCCTCTGCAGATAGCACCTGATGCCGAGCCTCTGCAGGCTGCACCTGATGCCGAGCCTCTGCAGGCTGCACCTGATGCCGAGCCTCTGCAGGCGGCGCCTGATGCTGAGCTCAGGAATGAACCTGCCTCCGATATAATACAGATCGGTTAGCAATAATTCAATAACTTGATATCCGGAAGGGAATTGGTCATTGTATGGCCAGAAAACTCAAGGGCGAGGGGGAGAATTTTCTAAAGTAATTAATGATGGATCAAAAAAATATTGATTAAAGGAATCTTGCTATTGTTCAGTAGAAAATATTTCAACATGCATAATCGATTCATTGATGTAGAATCAAATCTTCATGAAGACCACGTCTTGACAAAAAGGCAAAACATTAAATTGAGTTATTATTAGTCACTATTATTTTTTTGGCCAATTACATAGAGGGCCAGGACAGTTCTGGATTTCAAATTTAAACTGAATAAATATTAATCGTAATTACATTGTTGAGCATATTGTGTGTCATTTGAGTAGCAACAGTGTATTGTCAGCTTCTCTGCTCATCTTAGGGTTCCAACAGTTCTACATGTACATTAATTTCAGCCTGTGAAATTCAAGTGCCATTTATGATTGGTTGTTTTCTAATTGAGATCTACATGTGTATGATATGTTTCTATGATTCTTATTTACAGATGAAGAACCAGTGAATAGAAATGGAGTACCAACAGATACAGAAAAGATGGGTAAGTTATTTTTAAAAGAAAATAATTTGTCCATCCAGTTAATTAAGTGATGCTGTTTAACGAAACCTTCTATGCTAAGCTACATTCTACTTAAATAGTTGGTCTGCCATGATATATTTTCAGGACAAAAAGTCTGTTCACTGCTGAATGCAAGGAAGGTTAAAGATGCTAAAGCTTGGGTATATAAAGGGCAGCATACTGACATCGGAGCGGTTACGGAGTACCGCGTAATACCATTATAAACATACATAATACAGTCATAGGAAGTCTGCATGAACAATTGTCGTGTAGGTACAGGACATACAAAGGGAAATCATGTACGCGTACCGGACATTGACTATAATATATAATATAATCTTTAAATTCCCATCAAATTTCAAATAATACTTGCAAGATTAAATTGTAAATAAATGTATGTTAAAGAACTATAATAATGTGCATTTTTATATGTACTTAATTAATCACATATTAATAAATTTGATTTTATATATTTTTTTGAAAATTTAATTCAAAACAGTCAATCGTAACTCAGAATAAATCTGACGCGGCACGACTAGAATCGGTCGGTCCTGAAGTAGGCAATTTGGCGATCACTCCATAACACTTAACCAACGGGTATTACGCTCCCATGCATAAAAACGTGTGCTGCCCTTTATATACCCAAGTGAATAGCGCACTTTATTAACAGCAATCCTGCCACCCCTGAACCTTTAAATGGCACGTGTATTATTAAATATACCTCTCCATTTTGTTTCACTTTTCACAATTTCTCAAAAGATGGTTCTAAAGATTTCAAGGATATGCATCTATTGTAATTTGTTGCACTGGAGTATTAAACAGATCAGTCATAAGACAAGTAAAGGGAACCCCCCCCCCCCCTTCCCCCCACGTTCCTACGCTCTTGAAACGAGTCGTTTACTGGGTAAATGGATATGAATTTTCTTTTTCTTTTTACAGAAAACATACCAAGAAAGGGCAAGAAGAGGTGTCAGCTTGACAAGGGCAAGAAAAACATTAAGAAGGGGCGTGTTGCTACCGCACTGGCTGAAGTTAAACAAGATTTCAGTGATGAACAGCAGGCTGCCAATGTGGAGGCACAAAGGGAACATAGTGCAATAATGGACCACCTCTCCACTTCGAACAGGCAAACTGAAGATTCCAACAGGCAATGGATGCAGATGATGGATTCCCACACGCAAAGTGAGAGGGAATTCCAGAGGGGAATTATGCAAATGATGACCTCTATGACCAGCACTCTGTCACAAGCCATGTCATATTTTGCCCAGCCACATGGTCACGGCCCACCAATGCCATCGGGATCATCACCCTACTTGCCATCTTACCCCTTGCCATCTCACCCCCTGCCATCTCACCCCTTGCCATCTCACCCCCTGCCATCTCACCCCTTGCCATCTCACCCCTTGCCATCTCACCCCACACCATCTTACCCATTCCAGGTACATCACTCGCCATACACATCCAGTCCACCAACTCCTCACAATACTGACAGTGAAGAAAGTTTGGACGGAAGTTTCCTAACCCAACTATAAGTTTTGAAGAAAAATTGTGGGGAAACATCAAATTTGAACTCAATAGAGGAGCATAACTTCACTAACTTGTTTTATTTGAAACTTGTAACAAACATTGAAGTTTTTCTAGATATACTCTGAAATAGGTGTACATGTATTGTTTACATAATCACGTCAGGAACACAATATCTAAACCATCATTACCTTGACCCCGGTGCTTTGTCTTTCAAAATATTAAGCATTCCAGTTGCAAGTAAATGTATACCTTTAAATGTATAAATAGATTTCTTTAACTTATAAGTATTACTTATTAGTATTGCTTTTAACTTACACACTCCATACAATCTTTCATCTTGACAAAAACCAAATGGACCACCCTGGTGAATCCGTAGTGTGTGATGATACATATATATGTATACTATGTGTTCAAACGTATATTACATTTAATACTATCACGTTCTAAAGGTAATATATTTATTATATCAGGAAAAATCATTGTGCCTTCATACCTCTTGCCTGAAGATCAGATTTTGATAAAACAGTTCGTCATAGAAATTTACATGTTGTAAGTATTCAGTTTCTCACATTTTGCTGAAAAAAAATCACTTGCCTGTACTTATGTTCTCTTGTTTTACATACAACTAGACATTTATATACATATCTTATATTTACATCATGCTTGCATGTTTTTAACTATTTATGTAAACTCTACTCATGAAAGTTTTCTTTTTACATGTATACATGTTAGTATTACATTTATGACTTGTTGAGTCATTGACATATGATGTGGAAAACCCCAGGGTTTTTTAAGCACATTTCATAACATGCAAGTACAAGATGTGCAGCATGTTCCTTTGTAATTGCCATTCACTTTGTATAAACACTTAAAAGAAAGAGGTTTTTTGTCCACATTACCTTATATTTGAAGGGGTCTTTCTTTACACATTCTATGCAGATATTTATCTTAATAAAACCAAATGGACCACCCTGGTGAATCCGTAGTGTGTGATGATACATATATATGTATACAATGTGTTCAAACGTATATTACATTTAATACTATCACGTTCTAAAGGAAATACATTTATTATATCAGGAAAAATGTATGCTTTATAGAAATTTACATGTTATAAGTATGTATTCAGTTTCTTACATTTTTTCTGAAGGAAAGTTACCTGCCTGTACTTAGTTTCTCTTGTTTTACATACAACTCGACATTTATATACATACCGTATCTTATATTAACATCATGCTTACATGTTTTTAAGTATTTATGTTAACTCTACCCATGAAAGTTGATAAAGCAGTTTGTCACAGAAATTTGTGACAAATTTGATAATGCTGTCCTGTTGACAATGTTACTATGACACTTTTTCTTTGTTCATGTAGAAGTACAATGAATTACACTTTATATGCATTCCATGCAGAAATCTATTTAGACTGTCCTGTTCTAAAGGTAATATTTCTTCAATGTGCACCTCTTACGATGTGCAATTGTATACGCATTACCTACCATGAGAAACAAGAAGTGCCAGTACATGATAGATTTTTTCTTTTCTTGTTCATTAACTAACGATTTTATGCATTTTTACCTTGACAAGACTGAACTGATATTTAACTATGCCAAAGATAGATTTTTTTTTCTGATAGGGATTAAGCAGAAATTCCAAACATGTTTCAGTTGTGCAAGTTATACAGCCTTATAGTGTAGCAGTAGATTAGATGCATACATGTACAGGTGCATTGTTTTATTAAATGTTCAACATACTAATGTTCGAAATGCATTGTATCATTTGTATGGTCAATTATTTTGCAGGTGTTCAGTTAGTGCTGTGCGATATGTTTCTGCTCGATTGTTGTCAGCTGCTCTTTCTGGGTGGTGATGGTGGTTTTGCTGCTGTCTGATGTTCTCCTCATACAAATCTAAGTCCAGTGTGTCTCGTGCAATTTCACAGATGTTGTGAAGAACACATGCTGCGGTGACCATATGGATAACATTTTCAACCTGTAGTAAAGAAATGCATGTACATTACATATAAAACGAGAACATAGTACCAACAATAGAAAAAAAGGGAAAATTTGCATTGTGAAAGCTTTGATGTATTATGTATTCTAGCGTATAGAAGTTTGTGGATGCTATTAGAGATTACAAGTTGCAACCTGGTGGACTATCTGGGTATGGAATGGAGATCCAAATGGTACACATGCAATTTACATGCAGAAGGACTCGTACCAACTGAATGAATGCAGTCCCTTTAAAATAACTACCACATCTACCACTCTTAGCTCACTCTTTAAAGGGAATGCAAGACACCAATGTGCTTTCAGTGAATGAAGAAGATTAAAAATGACTAAACAATGAAACTTTGACGAAATAGGACAATATGTTCGAAAGTTGTAAATTTTCAAAGGTTATTGGTAAGTAATCCTTATTATGAGGATCATTTATCATGTAATCATGGATAATTCTTCGTACAAACTGTTTCATACAAATTTATTTATATAAAATTTAAAATCTACATAATTCTTCCACAAATGCTTGCAGAATTGATGTAGCCATGTCATACTCGAACAGCTAATCAGAAGAATTTCTACTTTTCATGCAAATATAAAACAAATTAAATACTAATTCTAGTGTGTGTGTGTGTGTGTGTAGAGAGGAGAGGAGCATGTTTATTACAAGGTACCTTGCTCTCGTTGATTTTGTAAAGGCTCCTCCATCGCATCTTGAGAAGTCCAAATGCTCTCTCAACGACCATACGTGCCCGGCTCAATCTGTAGTTGAAGTTCTGCTGACGGGGGGTCAGTCGGCCACAGTCGGCATATCCCTTCATCATCCAAGGTAAAAGTGGATACGCTGGGTCACCAATCACAAACAGTGGTACTTGCACACCCTCGATTTCCTTTGTTTGCTGAAACATGAATAAGTATGTGTGTGCGGGGAAGCAGTGTAAAAATAAAAATTTCTTTCAAGAGGGTTACTTTGAAGTTAACTACTGTGTTCAGAGAGTGTAATGCATTACAACCCATGGACGGAAATACTATTTGACAGGGGCTCTTTTTACATTTATAATAAAGGGGCTTTTTCAAGCATCCCTTTTTTTCAAAGCAGGAGGAGGGATGACGGTGGTAAACAAAAGTTGTACAGTACCTAGAGATGACCAGTTTCCTTAAATAACCTTTTCTTTTAAAATTATTACAGCAATTTTCTATTTTACATTTCCCTATATCAATTCATCAATTTTTCACCTCTCTTTATTCGATAAACAAAAAACTCACCAGTGGCAGCAACGTTCCAGCTTGGGCCTTCTGGTAGAGTGATGAATTTGACAAAACTCTGGCGTCGTGTACGCATCCAGGCCACCCAACTAGAATATCTGTAAACCTGAATTTTTGTTTTTCACAAATAAAAATTAAAAATACATATGATGTCCCATGAACAAACAGTACAAATATAAATTGATGTATTTTTTGAAAGATTCCTACAAATATTTGGATCTGTTCAAACTTCAAAATTTAGCAATGTGAACCATGCCATTAATGTGACCAAACTTCATACTTTTTCTTGACTGAATTACACAATTATCATTACTAGTATAATGTGCCTTCCGGTAAATTTTTGTTAAAATATGTATGGAATATCAAGGACACTCTCTTCCAAAACATCATGATGCTGTTTATCACTATTTTTACTATTAATTATAGTACTACAAACGAGTATAATAAATACTTATTAATAATTATTTGGTATTCATTTATTTCTATATTATTATTCATTATAATTATAAACATTGTTTATGAAGGCAACTTTACCATGGAAATGAAGTAAAGAGAGAGAGAGAAAGAGGAGGGGGGGGGGGGTACTTACAAGCACTTATCATCAACAAGGGCTTGAAGAATGATGGAATGGTATCCTTTTCGATTTACATAATCGATACCATTCTCTGGAGGTGCATTGATCTCAATGTGTGACCCATCCACAGCTCCAACACACTGAGGGAAGTTCCATTTTTCCTCGAAGCCATGTATAATGTCTTGGAGTACATTTCCTTCTGGAAATGAAATGTATGTTGGCTGGAGATGTTGTTCAATTGCAACGCAGACTTCACGCGTTATTTCGTAGGCCGTTGATATTCCGACACCAAAAAGTTCTGAAATTGTGCGAAAAGCATCTGGAGTGCCCAAGCGCCAAAGTGCTATGGCAACCCGTTTCTCTCGACTAATGGCACTTCTCATACGGGTATCATCATGCCTGATGTGTGGTCCAAGTTTTCCTACTAAGAAGTTGAATGTTGCCCTTCTCATTCTGAAATGCTTCAACCATTCTGAATCCTTGAAATTTTCGTGGGCATTCTCCCACCAAATTCCAGGCCTCTGACGTGCCCATACCCCCCTAGGAGTGTACAATTCATCGGCAACTAATGACAGTACCATTTCAAAATGTAATTTCAATTGTCGATTCCTGCGCAGACGTCGTCTATACTTGCGAGTCAGGTTAAAACTTCTTGTCAGGTAATCCCTCTGACATTTTGATTGTAATTGTACAAGTTGTCTTGTCAAATGGGTCACTCGATTTATATGGTTGTTTGAATGGTTAATTAGTAGAAACATAAGACACTGTATTTGCTGCAATGTCACCATCAGTATAAAAAAATGACCTTCCTCCATCTCTAGCTCCTTTCCGCTATCACAATCAAATGGATGTCACTTTCACCGTACGTGTTAAACGGCCGAAATTGAAAACACAATTTTGAATAGGTGGGACACCAGGTACAATCCGACGATGTAAAGAAGTTTACAGTCTGTAATTTTATTTGAGGTCAATGTGAATCGAAAACAAGAGTCACAAAGGGTAATACAGGCATACATACACTATCTTAATTCAGAAGATGTCAACGGCAGTCTACAATTGAAGGAATTTAATGCGAGGAAATTATCAAGTATCTTGTCTCAAAATAGCGCGCGCCAATCTGCCTGATAGTAAACACAATGCGCAATGGCTCTACTGCGCATTCTAAGAGCGGTTATAATCACGAACGATCGGCACCGAAATTTCTGTGTGTGAAAGGCTCGTGATTAGTTTAAACACGTTCGAGACACGTTTAAACTAGTCATGATTATAGAATTTTAGCTGTGTGTGAAAAGGCTGCTATTCTAACATGCTATCTAACATATTTTTTGAGTAGTGCCCCAAGGGCGCAGCAACGAGAAAAACAGACATTAGTGATATTTGTGTAGACGGCAAATGGGTGAGTAATCCACGTCCTACATCACAATCCATTGACCAAACCACCAATTTGAGATGCGCATAGACTCAGTGATCTCATATTTCAAACATTCATAACTTTCTTACTATTGATTTGATTCATTTCAAATTTTTGCCATTATGTTTTTTTTTCTTCTGCTTTCATACAAATCAATTTATTACAAGGGTTGGATTGCCCTTTAAATCTGATAGAGTTCTTGTCCTAAATAGTTTAAATAAAGTGAAACCACCCAACCTTAGACTTTGAATTGAAATAAAGAGTGTTAAACTATAATACTTCATTGTCTTAATTCCCACCATCATTGAATGAACTAAGTAATGCGCATTCGACAAGTACATGTATCCATTTCTTCTCCTACTGACTCGATTTTGCCTTTTTCTGATATCTCGAACATATCAACATTTTATTTATCTTATTTCCCTGCTTTTATACGATTGAACTTATTACAAGGGTTGGATTACCCTTTAAACTTGCTGAGCTATATTCTGAAACAACTTTTAGCATTTTATTAGTATTGGCATGCTATTCATTTTGCACATGGTCACAAAATCACACAAACTGTGGATTGTGAAAAGTAAAAACATGGACATTGATCGTATTGTATGGATGTTCATATGTTCGTTTAGTTAGTAGGTGGAATTCTGTATTTCCAGGGTGGTTCAATCTCTTTCTGAATCCCATTGTTTTACACCAGGGTGGGTTATAACAAATAAAATGGACGCGTTTTTAAGTGTATGTGGGTATGCCTAGTGTGAAATTATGGGTTTCATATTTTTTAAAAACAATATTGTTTTTATTTCAATGTACATTCATTTTTTTAAAGGTGAATGGGAAAAATGAATCATTGATGTTGCTGTTCATTAACCAACTACTAGCTATTATGGCACAATGTTTTTCCTTTTTACTCGCATACCGTATCGTCTCATTTTCCTAGTGTTGAGAACTCAAAAAAAACAATGTTGTCAGTTTAGTTTTCTTTTGTATAGAATAACGTAAAATTAAGCAAATTTGTTTCGTATGAAGGAATGTGTAATTCAAAATGAAAATTTGGCATTTCTTGCACTGCGGCTACTTTAATGAATTAGATAATGTCTAGTCAATGGGCAAAACAGACGATAGTTAAAAAATAAATATTAAAATATACATTCTTTAAATTAAACAAAATCACAGTGTCCGTCTGTTCGTTGACATTGTATATTTTGTCCAAGTATCACCGAATGATGGCATCAGGGAGGAAGAAGATCAGAATGCTATATCGTAATCATGCCCTCGTAATCATTTTTAAACATTTCCTTGATCTTATTAAAGGAGACATTTCATCTTAAAGAAGGTATTTACCTGAGACCTAAAGTGAAGAGTAGTCGATAGTGCTTTAACGTTTAGTCACCGTCACACAAACATAAACTAGCAATTTATTGCTATTTTGAAATTGACCATGATTTGCATACAATTATTTGATTTTACGTTTGATCAATCAATCGTACAGTCAATTGCTAAGTTTTGTGTTGCAGATCCCAGTTACGATGTAATAAATCGTAAACGGGATCGTATAACAAAAAGTTGACTAATCTTCGCAAAAGGGTGAAACTTGAAAAGTCATATTATCTCTTGGCGCATCCCCAAAACGAAACCTTTCACATGAAATGCTTTGTAAAGTCATCGTCATAGCCATGCAGCATATATTTCAATCCATATTTATTGCTCAGTCAGTCGGAAAAACTATTTGTGATGCAAATCATATATTCGGCCCGAGCTAGCTATCTGGGGGAGTAATGTAAATATTGAGGAGCTTAAAGAAGAATGGAACCATTCTTTGTGACCTGCGTCACTATGTAGAGGACATTCAACTCACATTTGCATACAACAATCAGGTTCGTAGGGTACACATGTATGTATATTCACTAAAGCTTCCAAAATAAGAAGACGGTTATCGTCTGCTATAAGTTCAGATGGCAGCCGCCATTATGAGGTATTTGCGCTAAACTCCGCTCTAGCTCTGCAGCTTGTAGCATGCACTCACTCAGCCGTCCAATTTATTTTACTACTTTCTTAATATGTCAAATATAATTTATTTATAATGTAATTTCCTATTTACATTTTTTAAAAATGAAAATGTTATAAAACATTCAATCATAATTATACATGTAAGTGTGATTGATATAGTTGGCCAATCATACATCCATAGCGCGTTTACGTCACAATCTCCGGCGAGGACAACACAATGGCGGCACCCAGTAACGGTAGAATCGTGATGAAAGGACCTGTTATAATTTGATTTATCAAACAAGGGAAACGCTCTCCGGTCTCGCCTGCATTACGCAATTCGATATGATAAATAATTGAGGTTGGAACATTAATTATAGGCATGGTGGTCCATTAGCAGGTCTCAACAAATGAAATCCTCTGAATATAATTTTGAAGTGAATATTGACTAAGAATGATCAGAAGAATTATTTACTAGTTATTGTACCACGATTGATAACTTGAAAGAAATACGAACAACTTAGTTTTAAACAAAATGATTTATTTATTATCATATTAAGTTGTGAAAACATAATTCAAGTCTACTGACCTAAAATGATCTTTGACCTTGTGACCTGGAAATTGTGTCATATGATTTGTGATACTCGATAACCCTTGGGTAAATATGCTAAAAATGAAAAAACTTGATGTTGATGCCACAACAAAGTCTAAGTCTGTTGACCTAAAATGACCTTCGACCTTAACTTAGTGACCTGAAATTCTACTCACATGATTGGGGAGACTTAATAAATCTATAGTCTAAGTTTCATTGCCTAAGAACTTATACTTTACTAACCTCATGTTAAGTTTTTGATTGTTGACGCCGTCACCGCCGCCGCCTTCACCGAAAAGCGGCGCCTACGTTTCGCTTTTTGCTACGCAGGCGAAACAAAAACGATGAACCAGATCTGCGATTTTCTTCGTGATTTCAAAAAAACTTGATGTTGATGCCACAACAAAGTCTAAGTCTGTTGACCTAAAATGACCTTCGACCTTAACTTAGTGACCTGAAATTCTACTCACATGATTGGGGAGACTTGATAAATCTATAGTCTAAGTTTCATTGCCTAAGAACTTATACTTTACTAACCTCATGTTAAGTTTTTTATTGTTGACGCCGTCACCGCCGCCGCCTTCACCGAAAAGCGGCGCCTACGTTTCGCTTTTTGCTACGCAGGCGAAACAAAAACGATGAACCAGATCTGCGATTTTCTTCGTGATTTCAAAAAAACTTGATGTTGATGCCACAACAAAGTCTAAGTCTGTTGACCTAAAATGACCTTCGACCTTAACTTAGTGACCTGAAATTCTACTCACATGATTGGGGAGACTTGATAAATCTATAGTCTAAGTTTCATTGCCTAAGAACTTATACTTTACTAACCTCATGTTAAGTTTTTTATTGTTGACGCCGTCACCGCCGCCGCCTTCACCGAAAAGCGGCGCCTACGTTTCGCTTTTTGCTACGCAGGCGAAACAAAAACGATGAACCAGATCTGCGATTTTCTTCGTGATTTCAAATGACTGATATTAATTTTGTTTGAATTTCCTTCACCTTTAACAGCGACAGAGAAATAGAGCAATGTAGAGCGAAAGCGAGTAAGTGGGTTAGTGTTCCTTGTCTTGAAGGCTAAGTCCACCCCCAAAATAATTTGCTTTTAATAGATGCAGAAAAACAAGAGAAACTGAGTTAAACAAATTAGAGTAAAGTTGGGTAACTAATAAAAAGTTATGAATTGTTGTTAAAGTACGAAAACTATGGAACTTAAAAAACACTACACGAATTGCAAATTTGGTTACCAGTTTGTGACGTCATTGCCTCATTATTTATCAATTTATTTATATATTTTATCCAATTAATTTCCTTTCTGATCCACACAACTTGATTTCCCAATGCCTTTGCCTAGGTCATATGCTTTGTATTATATTGCATGCATGACATTTAAACAAATATTTTATGAACTTTAAAGAATTTATATTATTTTCTGAGTATTGTATATTCATAATCACTAATTTTTATATAAACTAATAATAG